CAAACCATAAGAGATGCTGAACTCTAGGAAACAAACTGAAGGTTGTTGGGGAAGTAGGTGGGGGGATGGGGTAATTGGGTGGTGGGTGTTAAGGAGGGCACTTGATATAATGAGCACTGGGTGTTATATGCAACTGATGAATCACTAAATTCCACCCCTAAAACTAATAATACACTATATGTTAACTAAATTGAATTTAAGTAATGGATTTTTAAAAAGAATACAAAAGCACTTATTTTAAAGGATATATGCACCCTTATGTTTATTGCAGCATTATTTACAATAGACAAATTATGGAAGCAGCCTAAGTGTCCACCAATAGATGAATGAATAAAGAAGATGTGGGGTGCTGGGTGACACAGTTGGTTAAATGTCCGACTCTTGGTTCCAGCATAAGTTGTGATCTCAGGGTCCTGAGATTGAGCCCTGCATCAGCTCCATTCTGCTTGAGACTCTCTCTCCCTCTCCCTCTGCCTCTCCCACTCATGCTCTCTCTCAAATAAATAAATAAATAAATAAATAAATAAATAAATAAATCTATCTTTTAAAAAAAGATGTAGTGTATATATATATATTATTCAGCCATAAAATCATGAAATCTTGCCATTTACACCAACATGGATTTATCTAGAGACTATAATGCTAAGTGAAATGTCAGAGAAAGACAAATACCACATGATTTCACTCCCATGTGGAATATAAGAAACAAAACAAACAAAGGGGAAAAAAAGAGAGAGAGAAAAAAAACAAGAAACAAACTTTTAACTATGGAGAACAAACTGATGGTTACCAGAGGGCAGGTGGGTAAAGGGATGGGTGAAATAGATGACAGGGATTAAGGAGTGTACTTGTTGTGATGAGCACTGAGCAATGTATAAAATTACTGAATGACTATATTGTACACCTGAAACTAATATAACATGGTATATTAACTATACTGGAATTAAAATAAAAAAAATTTTTTTAAAAGATGGTCTTTTCTATTTATTCAGTGTTACTACTTCTGGACTATTATTTCCACCTGCTGATGTGAGCTTCCATTTGGGATCTTCCTTTAGCATTTCTTGTAGTGTGAATCTGCTAGCAATTTTGTTTTCTGAACTCTTATTTTTTTGAAAATGGCTTTATTTTAACTTCATTTAAAAAAATCAAGGTATAATTTATGTATAATGAAATGAAGAAATTCTAAATGCTCAGTTAAATGAGTCTTGACAAACGCATATATCCCATAAATCTATACCTCATCAAGATATAAGACAGTTCTGGGGCACCTGGGTGGCTCAGTCGTTAAGCGTCTGCCTTCGGCTCAGGTCATGAT